GAAGAAAATCAAAATCCCACAGTGTTTGAGTGCCTGGAATGCGTAGCAAGATTCTCATGTGCCAGCCAGAAACCGTCATGTCTGATTAACCACTTAAAATAATGTCGTCCAATTCAAAATAACATCATCCAATCAGAAAAGGGCAATCAGCGTGATGGTTTCTGGCTGGCACATGAGAATCTTGCTACGCATTCCAGGCACTCAAACACTGTGGGATTTTGATTTTCTTCTAGGGCTAGCTCCGGTCCGTTTGGATGGATTTTCGATTGGAAGGTTCGAGGAGAATTGTGCATCTTTTGACCTTAATGCTGTGAAGTTTGAAAGTGGAGCATTGCGATTTTCGGGGGGAAAATCACTCAGGCACTTGAACCCTTTCAAAACAAGGCTTCCACCCTTGTCTTTCTTCTATTCATTACATTAACCACGAACTCAGACTTATTCAAAATAGCTAAAAAAAATATTTTTGAGGCAAAGGACGACAATACGCCACAGGTAAAGTCATTCAACGTTTATTTATCAATGATTTATATACATAGTCAGCAATATATCACTTTAGGTGAGGCAAACGGTAAATCTGGTACATTTACTATAAAACAACAGTTGGCTACACAAACAGATTGTATGGGGTCCCTGTGATGAGATCTTCCAACAGAACATTAGAGAAACAAGATAATATGGTTTAAAGAGAAAAGCATAACACTACTACTATTTCAAAGTCGATAAAACTGCAACGTTCCAGGAGTAAAGACAAAAAGCTTTTAAGGCAAATAAAAAAGGGTGCAATGCATAATTATATGAACACTGGTGCCATAGTTTCTAAACATAACCTCTGGGCTGAAAACATACTTTCACATTATTGATCCAAATCAAAATATCGCATCAAAGTATCAAAAGTATCAACTCTCTTAGAAATAAGAAATCTATTTTCAACATTATACAAAAACTAACAAGTATATTTGACATGGATAGTTCATTTCACCTTCAATAGGACTGACATTGGTGAAGTTTGGTTTCCTCTGATTTCCATATCTCTCAGCAACCTATAAATTAAATATCTAATGCAGTCATTCATAAGCTGATTTTNNNNTTTTTTTTTTGCATTTTTATGGACTTTGACTTTGTCCAAGTCTATAAAACCCCAAAAACAGAAATCAACCAATATCAACCATCTTGACCTCATGCTTGGTCAATAACTCATATATACAGACACGGTTACAAAATAATAGATGGTATTTATTTTTACCATTCCTATTAATTTGGATGCTAAAATTATACTTTAAAGTGAACGTTAGAATGCACTTTACTTTTTACAATCCTCAGAGTCTTCATTGCTATTTTAAGGAAGGGATGGACTGAAGCAAAACATGATTTGGGTTAGTTGGCTCTGCCCTTCAGCATAACTTTTCGCATCATGGTATACTATGCGTGGACTTCAAACCCTTAGCCCTCAAATTCAATTTTTTACAGCCTCTAAAAATCACACTAACTCGATACTAGCTGATTCACGAAAAATTTATATTTTTTGCGCTGAAAAAACATTCACATATTCTAGCGTTGGGACAGTTAGTTTCATCTTCGGCATCTGTAGTTTTCAGAGTAATTAACTTCTTCAGTTTCGTGTGTGCTTTGTAATAATATAAGGAGCAACTGTACTTATACTTAATTTTCCAGCTTACAGAGACAATTTGCATCAAAGGTCGTAAACATAAAGCCTTTATCAACTCCAAAGGGAAAGACACAAGGTGTTGGGCAAGTTCATGGAGGATTTAGGCCTAACATTTGCGGAAATATCTTCAGCGTTATAAAAATTGGCTCGAGATAACTTCATACCAGCTAAACATAGGAAGCTTGCTTTCTTCTTTTTCCCCGCTTTAGTTACGCTAACAACTGCATATAGCCGCTCCTCAGTTGGTTTGAACAACTCCCTCTGTAAATTGTGCTTTATGGCCGCCATGTTTACACCATCAACACCTGGAACCAGTCTTCCGCGAACATAAAAATAATATTTATTTCCTGCTGCCGTATCAACCTCCCCTCCCACCCCCTCCACCTCCCGCCTGACAAATGACAGCCTCTGAACTCTCGCTAAGGCAAAAGCATGCAATTAGTAAAAAAAAAAAAAAAAAAAAAAAAAAGAATAGTTCAAGACAGATTGGGGGAGTTTTCATATATTCACCTGATTTAGTATTTCTTGCAAATGTTTTAGGATTATTCTCTATTCAGCGTATGTTTCAACGCGGGGGCAATAGTGTTGGTCCGACCAAAGTGATCCCAGAGGGAAGAAGTTAATTTGCAACGAAAAAAAAAAAGGAAAATTTCCTTTTTTAAATTAGATCACGAGTATCAGTCGGGCAGTGAAACGGAAGATGGGGGTATTTTATCAATCGCTTCACGACGGATTTGACCCGAGTTTAATTATTTGGAATCGCCTCGCGCGGTAGTCAACCCAATTCAGAAAAGACAAAACAAAACAAAACTTCGCTGACTTCTTTTAATCGTTCCGCTTGGTTATGAATTAATCATTTTGATGCATAAGTGGCATGATGTTTTCATGTGAAGTAAAAGTACTTTGATTCAGTAGAAGATAAGCGATATGAAACGTAATATATATTGGGTTGGATTGTAAAAATTTTTTGAAGACATAGACACCATTTTTCCTCTTTCATTAAAGTGTTTACCCGAAAATGAGATCGGCAGCAATAAAGGTTACTTTAAGAAAAATAAAAGGAACAGTAACGGCCTTTTTCAGTGAAACTGCTCAACTTACAACGAAAACTTCCTTTTTTGGATAACGAGAAGTTATTGATTGAGAACGATGATGGTCGGAATTGTTCGTCCACAGGCTTCTTCAAAATTCATCCATCTCGGTCTGAAGCTTTGATAGTAGGTCACATCATCAGCGTGTTCTGACACAAAAAAAAATTGAAATCACATGGATTGGAAAGTTTCTAACGGCTGGCACTCCTTGTGCCATGGCTGATACAATTAGGAGGTAGGCTATGAGAGTGATCTGTTTTGATGATATTCTGAAGCGGCTGTTTTTACTTTTTTGAGACTCCAAGGCGATTTTCGTGGCGTCTTTTCTTCAGTGGAGTTTTTGTTTCGTGCCGGTCAATTTTCTCGCGCGTAATTCTTGATCCGACCCTTTTGTGTTGGTTGTTTAGTTAATTTGTTATTCTCATGTCATTTGTTATGTAGAAAAAGTGCTGGATTGACTGTTAACATGGCAGGAAAGGTAACTACGGAGGGTAATTCGATTGTTACTCCGCCTGGAAGTAGCTCGAAGACGGCAATCGGGTCACCGACCAGCGATGGCGCGAGAGAAGTGCGCGAAGACCGCGCTTGGAAAGCATACGTTTCACAGATTGATTCCACCATTCCATCTTCATTACTGGTGAATGGAGAGGACTTGAGTATGGCGTCCAATCTTGGATTTCTGTATGATTATTACGAGGTGACGGAGGAATCAAGTCAGGCTCCCCCTTCGCCACCTCAAGGGTAAGACTAGTGTGTTGTTGTCGTAATAAGCCATGGTGGATTTGTAAAATTGTGGAGTCGTTCGCTTTTACCTCGTTTGCATAACTGTTTCTCTTTCTTGAAAGGCCTAGTTGGCAAATTTTCACCAGCCTTTTTTTCGAAGGATTCGCTAAAAGATCTGCCCAACCATTTTGAGGGAGATGATTTTGTTATGTTATTTATCTATTGTAGATTTCTAGTAAAATTCTAAGCGTGTCGTTTTCCTGTTTTAATGAAAGAGGAAATGTATGCTTTGGAGTACAAGATTTGCGATTCGGACCTTCACGAGTCAGTCTTTTTTATGGCAACATCTTTTCTAGAGGGAAAAGTATTAATCTCCGTGTTTAATCCAAGTATTGATAAGGTTTGCGAATATGAACCCCTCTTCTGACGGGAGAGGGCTACTCGCGGGTAATAACCACATTAACTTCTTACTGTTTGCTCGATCACAATCTGTTTACGCCATCATTAACTTCACATGAGGGACTCACTGGTGTAGAAAATTTTCTTTGACATATACCCTCCTCTCTGCACCTTTCCTCTAGTTAATTTAGTGTTTGTTAGAGGTTGTCTTTTGAATCTTAAAGAATTCCCGGGTTGATGTCAAAAAAATACTCCAATTAGGGAAATTGGCCACACAATTTTTTTTGTCTGAAAGACTGCAATATTTTTTAAAGGAGTCTTCATTATTGATCGATGCTTGGTCTACATATATGATTGATTTCCCAACTATCAACATTTCCCCAATCTTTCCAAACTCATGCAAACGTACATGTGTACGCTCTCCAACAAGCAAGTAAACTTCATTATTATGCAAGTCATGTACATAGTGTTTGAGAAGAATCATATTTACAACTAAGAAGCTGATTGAGGTCCTCAGACATGTGATTGCATTGATGATTTCAATATCAACTTAAGGAATTGTTCTTGAAATATGTAGAAGTAGATGTCGTGAGTGGCAAAAGTTTAGCTTATGCCGGATACTGTGACCTTGGCCCAAAAAAAACTTAAAATAAAGCTTTTTGTTTCCCAGACCTTTGCTTTGAACCTCAGGTCATTATCTCTTTGACAAGCCAACATAAACTTATGAATACATAGAGAGTGTTGTCTCTAAATAAATAACAAAGCAATTTGATTTAAAAATATGAACTTTGACTTACGTAATTAGTTGTCAGGGCATCGATCAATGTGACAGGAAGTCTGGATACAGTTTAAGATATAACGCTCACTTTCTATTGATTAATTGGCCAAATATCGAACAAGTTAATGCAACTACTACTATTACATGAAGGCTGCAGCTTAAGTCTAACTGCCAACTTTTGCAGAAAATTGTTTTTAAATTAACAAGTTAGGTTGGAAAGCAAGTCAGTGTTATCACCTTCAATCCATAATTAGCGGCATTAGGAAGCTTTCTGCTGTCAAAACTTTTCTAGGTTTCAGTCATCTCTCTGTGGTACAAATTTGGTACGTGAACATAGTAAAATGGCCAACTTTGAATAATATTGTTACAGGACAAGCTGGCAGGGTATGGCCACATAGGTTTGTCATAAAGAAATGGGGATGTGGCAATGATTTTAGAGGTATCATGGTACTAGTACTGTTTTTGTTGCTTGTGTTAAAAAAACAACTTTTCAAGAGTCATCTGTCATTAGATTTCTACAATTTTAGGATTTTCATCAAGTTTATTGATACTGTGAATAATGTGTTGGTCAAGTTTCAGAAATCTCTGACTTCAAAAGAAAAGAATTTGGACCACATCCAGGGTTGAACTTTAGAACATTTGAAGGGTGTTTATTATGGAAAAACCCTTATTGAAGCCATTACTATTGTTTGTTTAACCCTTGTAAGCTTTCATGACTGACAAAGACAATTTTTCCTAACAATGTTATGAATCAGACAAGTGACAAGTGAGAATAGAGTGAGATATTGACAAAGGAATTATTAGTTGATCCAATTCCAAATTCTCTTAACTAACTTAAGAATTTTATGGCAGATGGTAAGGAGAATTTCTAATGAGATCTTGGGAGTGAAAGGGTGAGAGAAAAAAATAGAAAAGGAAAGCAAAGTAAAGAAAGCAAAAACACTGAAATTGTTTTAATTTTTTTTTTCTACTGAAGTTCTGGAGGAGGAAATGGTCAAGGGAACCCCTCTTCAGCAAACAACCATTCACAAGGAGGAAACAGTGATTCAGATTCAGGGAGTCCTTCCCAGTCAGAGGTAAACAAACCATCATAGCTGGCAGAGTTAGCCATATTGGACTTGTCCCAATTGATAGTTCTTTGATTTGTGGAATAATCATCATCATCATCATTATCAGTGCAAATTTGTTACAAGCACGTCCTTCCATTACAATCAGTCTAATGCTATGAGGTCTCTCACTTTATGGAACATCTTCCTTAATGCCACTCTCTCTTTGGTCTCCAGTTCTCCTTTGAAGGCTGGTTTTCATTGGTGACATAGTTTAAGTCACCAATTCAAAATAGAGAATCAGAGTCCTAAACAGAGTCATAAGCCCAACAGAATCAAAGTTTTTCACTATTGCCCCTTGTGGCTTTTGAAAGTCACGATCTACTGTACTGAAACCTTGATTGTTGGAGTCACAAGCAGAAGAACCAGCCAATCACAATGCAAGTTCTCAGGCCATTCAGAAGCTTGTAACTTTCAACTTTAGTTTTCACAGATAATAGACGACAGATGTCGTCAGTTGCGAAAGTTAGATTATGCTGGGTATTGTGACCTTGTCCCAAAAAAAAACTTAAAATAAAGCTTTTTGTCTCTCAGAACTTTGCTTTGAGCCTCTACTAACCTTTAGAGCCATGAGAAGTTTTTTTTTTTGTTCACCATGTACATTCATGAAACACTGATATCTCTTGGTCTTGAGAAACACTTGCGAGAATAATAATAAATTGTAATGATGATGATAATGAAAAAAACAGTAATAGTGAAAATGGTAGTAACAGTATTGGTAATGACAATAACAGTAATGCTAATGATAATTACAATATTATTAATTTGATAATAACAGTATTTACTATATCAATAATAACATCATTGCTTTAATGGTAATAACAGTATTGGTAATGATAATAATAATACTGCTTGTTAATCTCCATCTCCTGCATCTATTAATTAGTGAATTTGGTTAGGCAGGGGACATTAAAGAACCCACTCATGAGATTATTGTGATGTGGTCTGGCCTGTTTACTGGGAATTGGGGGGAGGGGGCATCTTCAAATAAGTTTCCTTCGATTGTTTGTAAACTGCTGATGCAGTCCGGCCAAAGTCCCCCAAAAAGTGTTGTGATGCGCATTTGATCATATCCACATGTTAATTTGCGTAATATAAATATTAAATAATAATAAATAATCTCTCAAGATACCATCTTGAAAAGTCTGTTCACTCCCATGTAGGTAGGGGTGCTTAGGCCTTAGTAGAATTATTCAGAAGTTTGTATATTAATTGAATGATGTACTTTAATAATAATAATATTAATTTATTTACTGATATTGCGCATGTTGCAAATGCAGATGCTCACACGTTCATTACAAATACAGTATAATAATCTTACGGTACAGTCTTGTAATCTTTGCAATCCTGATTATTGAAAGTATGGTGTAATGAAATGTCTAATTTTGTTGTTCTTTTAACTTTTTGATTCTACTTAGCAAGCCACTCTTAGCTTTTTACAAGCAGTGCAGCAGATAAAAAGCCCAAAACATAGGTAAGAAAGAAAAATAAATGACACCATCTTACAATATACATGCCTGGGCCTAGCTTCTACATTACTTAGTTTTGTTGTTGTTGTTGTTGTTGTTGTTGTTTTTTGGCTGTAGTGCACAAGTCCAAGTTGACCATGGAAATCACCATATTACTCCAAAACAAGAAAAAATGACTTCAAATGTTAAGGTATATTTCAAATCATGTAATTTGATTTATTTTTTTCAGCTATGAGTGAATTAAATATATGTTACTGTAGGCAGAAGTAAATCACATTGCCATCAAAACAGCTGTAACCATAGTTTTGTGATACAATTCATATTTAAAATTTTATTTTTCAGACACTCACCCTTGGGCAACAGATTAAAGTGCAGCCAAGGTAAATTTTTATGACAATGAACCTGGTTAATTTCATCAAACTTGTGTTGTACAAAAACATGTGTTGAAAATAAACTATTGTCTTTTGGTAAAGAGAACATAATGTATTTCACTCTCAACTTTCTGAAAATCCAAACAAACAGCAGATGATCTAGGGTTTACCCTTAACAGAATTTCATCCTTTCTTAGTCACGATATTTTGCTCAGAATCTACAAGCAGACTGTATTACCTTTGTTAGACTATGGTTGTGTTGTATGGAGCGAATGTAGCAAAGAGAATGCCCAACGTTTAGAGCGCCTGCAAAACCAAGCAATGCGAATAATATTGCATGCTGACCGTAAGACATGTACTCAGGAGATGCGCGCCAAATTACAACTATTATCACTCCACAGTAGATACCTTTTCATCAAGCTACAGTATGTTTTCAAGATAATTAACAACATCAACTGCCCTAAGCAGTTGACAGGGTACTTAGTGAAACGATCACAGAGACACTGTCGAGCCTTTAGAGATCCAACATTATTAGATCTACCACAAGTTAAGACCAAATGTGGACAGACCTCGTTTAAGTTTTCGGCTGCGAGTGCCTGGAACAAACTGCCAAGAGAGATTCACGAGCTCACAACACTCGCACAATTTAAAGGCAGAACTTTCACTTACCTCGTAAACACAGACAGCGTAAATCATGTTTGTACAAGTTAAATGTAATTTTTATGTATAATTTATACATTTTAGATTTGTAATTGTAATACTTATTGCTTGTCATTCTTTTTAACTGGTCACCGATTAATACCAGTTGATCTATATCTTGATCGACTGACGAGTTTCTTACCAGGATAAATAAAGTTATTATTATTATTATTATTATTGTTATTATTATTATTATTATTATTATTATTGTTGTTATTATTATTATTATTATGATACTAGTTAACTGTTATTTGATAACCATTCCCAGCTTTGTCTTAAGTAATTGGTAGATGGCGGAAATTCCCTCCACTCCATAGTTTGGTCAGCTGATTACCTTGTTAGGATGTTGCTCTGTACTTTTCACAAAACAAGCAAATATAGCCACCCACTTTGACAATAGAGCTACTTACTACAGAACATTCTGAGGAGTCTTTGCTCTGATTGCAATTATGATTTTGTGCTTATTTTCTTGTAGTACATCAAGTTGTAGCCACACCCCTATACCTGTGGGTCGCCCCTCTTCGTATCCTCCCTCTGCTAAAACTTCCCAACAAGTAAGCGATGTTTCCCCGCTCTCATTGAGCACCACTCCACCTGAGGTAAGTGTCATTGGTCAAGCTGCTTGTACAGTTATTTACTCCAAGATAAATAGTATTATTAAAATTACATTAACCTTGTAACTGCCAAGAGTGACCAAGATAGAATTTTTGCTTACAATATTGATACAATATAAAGCAGACAAGTTATGTGAAAAATGAAAAATGTAAATTAGGGGATTTTTAGTTGATCCAATAACAAATCCTCTAAACAAATGTCATAAGAATTATATGGCACCCAGTGAGGAGAATTCATAATGAGATCTTGGGAGTGAAATTGTTCACTTTCAGTAGCATTTAGCATCTGCATGGTTACCATCTATTGAATGTTTCAACATTGAAGTTAAATACTAAAGTATCGGGCTGGAGAACATTTGAAGACCTGGAGTGAAATCTTACAATCATTTAATTGCATATGTCAACTGAATGTCAAAAAAAATCTAGGATTGGCTGGACTGTGGTCCAGCAGTGCTAGGTGGCCCCTAGCAGCTTACTTTCACTCTTGGGCGACTTGGGAATTTTAGGTTTTTCATATAAAAGCATATGCCAGGCACCCTGTATTTCAAAGTTTCGGAGCAGTGGGCTCCCTTCACTTTTTCTTAGAGCACACCCTTGATTGGGTTTGCTTCCCTTTAATTTATTCTTCCAGAGGTCTAGAAAATTTGCATGACCCTCTTGACCTGTGCGGTGGAAACTTGAACCACTGCAACTTGTCAGTTCATGTTTTGTTCTCGACTCCATTGCTATGTTTTTATTTGGAATTCTCATCAGTTTCTGTAATGGAACAAGTCTGTGAGATCTCATAGGTTAAAGTGTTGTGAACATCATTCCTTTGGTGATGAGAACAAGTATGATGAACAGTATCATCTTCCTTTTCAGGCATTTAACTTCACTCCATACAATCAGGCACTGAAATCTACCCCAACTGTTTTCTCTGCTCAAGATAGGTAAGCATACTTGTGGTACTTGCATTTGAATGGTTCACCTATTGCAGCTATGTCTAGTAACATCACTAAACAACCTAAATGTATTTTATAAGGTATTCCTTCATCCTTGAGGCACCTACATCCATTATACAAAGAAGAGGAGATGACACTTTGACATATCTTAACAAAGGTAAAAAAGTTTATCTATTTGTAAGGGCTCAAAATGTAGAAAAAAAGCAATAACATGTTTAGACCCCAGAGTTAACATGTAACTTCTCCCTATAATATCCTTACATTTTCAAGCAAACAGTTAATGAGAATACTCTAACTTCTCACAGAAGTTATCTTGATTTAACATCAAATTCTTGTAACTAATTTACATGGAAATGTGTAACAGCTAGAGAGGAGAATCAACAATCAGATCCTGGGAGTTAAAGAGTTAAAAAAAAAATTGAATACAAACTCAAGACGTTCACGCAGTAGTAAGGACTGTATCTCTTGTACACGGCCTGTATCTCTTGTGCACTGTATCTCTTGTACACGGCCCCACTAGGTGACCTAATAAGATGCCATAATATAGACTTCCATCTATATGCTGATGACAGTCAACTATACACCACCTTCAGTTGCGATGATAAGAATGACCTTACCACTACAATTTCCTGGATTGAAAGCTGTCTTATTGATATCAGCAACTGGATGACTACTAACAAACTGAAACTAAATACTGATAAAACCGAACTTCTTATTCTCCATTCTAAGTTCAGACCGCCCCCACGGCTACCTTCTATTAAAATAGGAACTGATATCATCGAGCCTGTAAATAAGGCGCGTAATATCGGCGTCATTTTCAATAACACTATAATGATGTCTTTTCATATTAACAACATAGTTAAAGGGGCATTCCACCACCTAAGAAATATACCTAAGATTCGTAAATATATCAATGTCACAACAGCTAAAGTTCTTGTACACGCATTTGTAAATTCAAAGCTGGATCTATGTAACTCACTTTTGTATGGTCTTCCCAAGTATGAAATTAACAAACTGCAATGTGTCCAAAATGCTGCAGCACGTGTGATTGCTTGCTTAAGTAAGTTTGATCACATAAGCGATACTCTAAAGGAGCTGCACTGGCTGCTGGTGGAGCAAAGAATTTATTAAAAACTAGATCATTGGATAATGCAATTCAAGACTTTTTATTGGCTTAGCCATTATGGTATATCAGCCAATATACCATAATCTACAAATATGGTAAGCGTACGTGTCAGCTTAAAATTTAAAGAGAGCTAAAAATTTATTAAAATTTAGTAATTTAATTTAACGTTTTTAATAAAACAATTATTCCCCTCGCGCTTGTTGGATATGAGATGATTATAGCCAACTCGACACTACGTGCCTCATTGGCTATCTATCATCTCATATCCAATGTGCGCTCATTGAATAATTGTTAAATATACATATATATATATAGGTATACGATTAAAGTCCTTTTTAAAGCACTGTAAAGCGCTTAGCACTGAAAAGGATAGGCGCTTTATAAATATTTTATTATTATTATTATTATAAGGACGTGTCTCTATATTTCATTCTATCCCTTGTAGGTCAATTTTATGCTATTAGTTTTGAGGGTAATGTGGATCCCCCATCAACTGAGGAGGAAATTCAACGTGTCAGGGTATGTTTATGCTTACTATTTCTTCAACTTGTAGAATTCCATCAGATAGGACTGACTTAGAAATTGTTATGAACTGATTTTGTTAGCAGAATGGAGATGCCCGAAAATAACTTTCCAGTAAATATATTGTCTTTTTATCTCTGTCACAACACTGCCTGAAAACTTGAAGTTTCTCTCTCTCATTTTAATGCCTAGGAGTGAGCAAAAGTGATTTCTCCCTACAATTTCAATTAGTTTTCAAGCAGTTAGTCTGGTGATTTGATATTGAGTAATGGAGTGAAAGGATTAATTTTGAAAAGCCACAATCCTTTCATCACAATTTTCAATGTAGTTGTCTTTCTTATTGCAGTCCGTTGTTCATTTGGTTTTCCGTGATGAGAAGGATCCAAGAACAGAATGGGAACACTGGCAATATTGGCACAGCCAGCAACCTAACCCTCAACAACGAGCATTTGACATAGGTAAGAATAGTGAGTATAATAGTAACTTATTAGATGATTTAGAAGACATTGTAAGAGAAAAAAAACAGCCAGGCATTATTTGACAGTATGGATATCAGCCCCCCATGCCCCACCCCCCCCTCCCATACCAAAGAAATCTTTAGACTGTATAGTCGCAACGATGATACAAATGTTCTTACACCCTGTATAGTGCAGGGTTTGAAATATATCTTTCTCTCCTAGTGCTTTCCTTCTTTCTTTCTTTATTTGGCTCATTTGAACACACGCGTTACATTTCCTCTTTCCTCTTTCTTCGTCTATTTGTCCAGATCGCAAGTCTTGTCAGAATATAGAAGATAACATAGATGAGATATCATACAATGCAGCTATGTTTACATGGAGCCCTCACTTGAATGCAAAAATAGTAATAAGGATCAACTGCCTTAGCACTGATTTCTCCTCTCAGAAGGGAGTTAAGGTTAGTATTGATATACTCTGTCTGTTTTATGGTTGGTTTACACTAGTAACATTGTCTTAGTCAGAGTCGTAGTGTCCTGACAAGGCATATGGCATGGTGAAAATTGTAAATCAGAGTTGTGAAAGAAGTGATGAATTAGACAGAACTGCATTTGGAAGAGTAAGAGAATTTCTAGAACGGCCCAGTTTAACTTCTCACCCTAATTCTTAAGTGCAAACTACTTTGTGTTCATCACCAAAGTCATAAGCAGGTGCAGAAAAAATAACTGATCACAATGCCAGTTCTCAAGCCGTTATAGTGCTAATGATTAGAGCAATGTAATTTTCGCCAGATTTTAAGAGGCATACTCTTAAATGGCATTGACATGCTGCTACCATTTTTATCAGCTAGGTATTCACTAGATTTCATCCCTCTGTGCTTTTGATTTCAATGTGTCCCTTGTTGTAAGAGGGAATAAGCCTGAACTGTCTTCACATTGTACAATAGAAGGTCATCATTTTAGAATAACAAAGCTGGGTGATTTGAGACCAGAAGTTCAGCAGTATTAACTGCTGGATAGATCCTCTGTATTGTTTGTTAGTATCAAGAAATTTTGTCTTAACTTTCTTTTTTGACTCTATTTCCATCAGGGAATTCCACTGCATCTCCAGATTGATACATATGAAGATATACCCAGTCCAGATACAGAACCTGTACATAGGTCATTTTGTCAGATTAAAGTGTTCCGCGACAAAGTAAGTGGTTCATTTTTCTTAGTGGTAACCATCATGAAACGTTCAACAGATGAAGCTGGAACAACTGGTTGCTACAGTAATTATACTTATACAGAATTCTTTAAATTGTTTTCTTTTGTCTTTTAATTTTCTCTCTGTCCTTCCTAAAGTTAATGCTTTATTATATTCTTCAAGGGTGCAGAACGAAAAAACAAAGATGAATCAAAAAGTGCTGAAAAGAGAATTCAGAAATGGGTGAAGCAGAATACATCATCATGTGCTGGTCAGTTTACACAGTAATCTTTTGGGTCACTGTGGGACTATGGCTAAACTGTAATAGCCTTTTGTTGATATAAAAGTGATTACTTTCTCCTGTTTCTTTCAGATCCCAACATGGTGTCTCCTACATCTCTATTCCATCCTCCCAGTAAATACACGCGGCTTCAGACAACCACACCACTAGGACCAAAGCCTATTCTGTTTACTCCCGCTGTACACAGCACACATGTGAGTTCATCTTTACAAGAATTACTTTCTATAGATCCTTCATCTAAGGGAGATTTAGTGGCTTAACTTAAGATCCCCTCTCTAGTTGCTACACGTTTCTTGAGAATTTGGCATTAGATCAGGAGAGCAACTTCTACCTGATAAGTTTGAGTATTCTCATTACCTGTTTGCTGGATAATATGTGGATATTATACAGAGAAGTTTCATGTTAATCACTTCCAAGAGTTAAAGGGTTAATGATTAGCATTTTGGACTCCGGGCTGTGATAAGGTTGGGACTCTGGCTTGGTCATTGGGCTGTTCGTAAGCACGACAGTAAATTCTCTGCAAGCCTCTCTCCACCCAGCAGTAGAAGTACAAATTTGCAAACAGGGTTGTAGCTTGAAATTATGCTGTCGGCTGAAATTTCAAGTGAAGAGGCTGAAAGGTGGTGAACAATGGTAAATGTGTAACCTGGGTTAAGTGCCATTTATGCTTTACCAAGTCATCACCAGCAAAAAATCCAGCTGGCGATCACCACTTTTTCATCTGACAAATTTCGGTGGCAGCAGGTGCTCTGCAACAACCCTGAGCAAAGTAGGGATTTTCATCATTTGTTTCACTTACAGTTATATTTTTCTTTATTAAGATACAAGGAGGATTTGAGGAGTCATCTTTGCAGACATTATCTCTGTTGGCATCCATAAAGTAGGTTAAACTTTTCCTTAGATTATACTCCAGTTGTTTCATTTAGATTATACTCTAATTGTTTCGTTCATATTATACTCCAATTGTTTAGTTTTAAGTAAAATTTCAAGTATGGGATAAAAAATTTAGTGAATGACTCTTTGTTTTTCACATTTTAGGGATCGCGAAAATAAACGGACTCTGCAATCACACTTAGCCCTGGCAAAGGTAGAGACATGCTTAGCTTTTACTTCATTGTTTACCTGATATTTAATTTCCTGGAATTGATCCAAAATGTTTACTTCCATTACTCTACACAGGATGAGCTTGCTGAATTAGAAGTTGTTCCTAGATTAAAAGTACAGAAAATCCACAGACCCAATAGACCAGGTTAGTTTCCTTAACAATAACGAATGTTGATTACAATAATGATAATGATAATGATTATAATGGTAACGATGAGGATAATAATTATAACAATAATAATGGGATTTAGCAGTAGACACAACATTAGGTGGCTGTTTCCAGGTCAAATTGGAACTTAGAATGTTGGTTTTTTTTGGGGGGAGGGGAAAGGAGGAGGACCTGGAGGAAAACTCTCAGATTAAGGAACAGAGCCAACAATAAACTCAACCTCCTTCTTACACCAGGTCCAGAAATTGAACCCAGGCCACAGTGGTGGGCAGTGAGTGCTCACACCACTGCGCCATCCCTGCTCACTTTCTTAAGAAGTACTACCTGATATCAGTGTCAACTTGAAGTATTGTTTCTCTTTCTTACTTATGTGTGGAAGAAAACTCCTGGGAGATCCTGATTGTTTCAACATTCAACTAGGTATAGCAGTAATAACATAAATTTTACCATCTCCTTGCAGCTGTTACAATTTATGTGAAGAAAGATGAGGAGAAAGTTTACAATGCTCTGATGCTTGATAGCTTGACCGTTGGAGACATGGTTGAAGCGGTTGCTAGTAAATATGGCATGCCTCCTGAGATGATAAAGAATGTTTATAAGAAAACCAAGAAGGGGATTCTTGTTAACATGGATGATCGTATGATTGAGCAGTTTGTGGATGAAGATGATTTCATTATTAACCTGGATTTTGATAATCAACTTGGGCATTTTGAACTAACCTTACAGTACTGAACCATTTTACACCACTAAGACACCTGTCCTGTCTTTTTTTTCTTCCATTGATTCCCACAGCATGATTAGTATTTCTCCCCTTTGTTTGTCACACATTTCCTTGGAGATGAGTAGAGGGAGTTTGGGTTTACAATCAAGAGGTAAATTGTATTTTCTCATCACCTGTTTGACTGATATTTTATGGGTACTGTAAGAAGAAGTTGTGTGTTTAATCCTTTTGGATGTATAAGGGCTCAAAAACAAAAAGAAAACTGAGTTTCTTGCACCCATGTGTTCTGATGTATTTTGAGACACTAAGAATTAGAAGTGTCAGTGCTGTTAAAGTTAACATGAACTTTTAAGTGAGGTTATTTTCCTCGGCATTGTACACAGTCTTGTCTTATCAGTTACCATGTGGATGGTTGCATGACGTGATGTAGGTTGCTCAAAGCTTCCACAGGATCTGGTTGATAAAATTCTCCCTTCTAGCTGTTAGAAATTTCTTAGTAAATTAGGAAAGGGAGTTTGGTGTTACAGTAGCTCAAGATAACAACCTCTACCCAATATGTTTTTGTATTCACTTCACCTGTTTGCTGGATAATAATATGGACAATATAGGGAGAAGTGATGTGTTTATCACTTCAGGGAGTCAAGGGGCTAAAAATCAGTTACAGCAAAGTTCTCTGAATGACTGTCAGCTACCCTAAAGTACATGTTAATCACAAAATCTTCATCTTTGCGGGACTATTAGTGTAGTTTGAGAAACACTGGTAATTCTTATGGGTATATAGGTCCATGCCTACAACCATGCCTGTGACTTTTTCTCCCAGTGACCTTCGCATGTTTAAATGGTCATTAAGGATTTAGAGACACTCAAGTGGAAAGAATACAGATGTGTTATGTTGTGCACTTTTATTCTTAATGGAATTTTTAAGATTTGTACTTTTCCACCACTTGGAAACTGTGGTTCAACTGTTTTGTGCTCTGTAGTGTTGTTTATAAACTATTATTGAACAGGAAAATTCTTGCAGTAAAAACTAGTCTGTTGGTGGAAAAACAACGTTCACTTTTCTATGAAGAATTTCTAATAGGAGCATTTTTACAAAGACCTTTTGCTTAAAGGAATATTGCACAACTGTGTCAGAGAAAGTTATATTGCATGATAATGAAAATAAGTTAAAGGGTTAGCATGGGTTGTACCATCTAGAGTTTCGAATTATGATCAATTATTCACTGAAGTTGAGGTGGATAGCTGTTTTAGTATATACCACACAGGAAACAAAAATATTAGTTTATTTCTGTCATTATCTGAACCAGCAAATCAGTGCAAGTGAAAAGCACTATTTACCTGTGTGGTGTATACTCGTTAAAGATATCCTTAACTTGTGAGGGAGACTGCAGACTGTTGTAAAGGCTGCCAACTGTTACTGAAACCTCAAGAATTGTTTGTGGCTGAATGTGAGGCCTGTATGACGTAACTAAGACAAGTAAGGCTATCATTTAAGGCATGTAAAAACAAAAACATTCTTCTAAAAAACATAAGTATGCGTTAAACTTATTCACTCTGTGTTTGAAAGTCTTGTACCATAATGTACAAATACAAAGTAAAAAGTAAACCTTTTTTATAAGGTATTATCCTTTTTCAATCTTATCTTTTTCTTATTAATGCTAACTGCTGCTTGCCTCCAAAATGAATCTTCTACAAGTGAAAGAGAGTTTGGGTATTAGTTGCAAGTGCTGAAAAACCTGACAGCATATTAACGTATCTTTCACAAGAATGTCAAAGTATCTTGGCAGGAAAAATTAGTTATATTATCAGTAAGGCCAAACAAAAATTTTAATTGTGTCCCTCTTTTCATACACTGTTTTTATGGTCCAGAACTGGTATGGAAGAAGTATTTAGCAACAGGGGTAGAGCTTGAGGGTGAGGGAGGGGTTTAAGGTGTTCAAGAAAGCCATCATTTACATTGTAACGATAACTAATGAATGAGGCCATTTCCTTTCCCCCTCTCTAATAATTATTCCCTGTGATGAAAATTTTTCCCTACTATGCTGTATGTTCATGCAGACTGTTTGGCTCACTCAGTGTTTGTAGGCTAGTTGGAATGTTCATGGTCTTTACAGGATAGAGATGAAAGATACAACAGATTTCTTAATCCTTCTTACAAGATAAATTATTTTCATATTTAAAGGAAGACCTGTTTGTATTGGTATTCTTAATTATGCCATCACAACAAATTAAATACTATGTAACCATTTATTGGCTTTCTTGAAAACTTCTCTGTGGAATAGTGCTTTGTATCACTCTGCCTATGCTCCATTCAATGTTCTGTGGGTGAGCCCCAAATCAACCCACAAAAGCTTTTCATTGTAAAGTTGATCACAAAATTTCAAGTCTCTATTTTTTGTATACACCATTCACTTTACCAACTTCAGCTTTTTGTCCTGATACCAGAATTCTAGAGACCCTACTCTCCAACACCACCACTCCAAATGGGAAATTTTTTACCTTGCACAAGCATTTCAAATAGAAATATACGCCAAGGACTCTCAGAAGTCTGCCTAAATTTTAAGGGAGATGGAAGTTAAACTTTTGCAAAATTGAACTGTAATAACATCTTTGGGGTTTTAAAATGTTTGCCTCTTGGGAGAACTTATGCTTTGTCCAGGACTTGCATTAATTATATCTCTGAAACAAAGCTGTCAGGTCGAGTCTGCTTTTTTTGTTAGTAACGTCTGTTTTTAGGAAAATTAGCTTTTGAAATTATCTTTATCAAGTCATTGTTCCCATTTCTTTTCTAATAATAATATTCAGTTTTTCAACTGATGCTATCAACCAACCATGTAATAGATTATCATGATTCATAAATTTAAGCTGAAACGAATGTTTTCTTTGTCAGCCTAGAGTTCAGGGAAGTATTGTAATTATTTGATAAGTATTGTAATGTGTGGAAACTTTATGTCAGTGCAATAAATATTTTATTACTCCAGAAGAGTTGTAGCATCATGCCAGAGAAACTGTAGACTAGATATTTATGGCAATGAATAGTTTAAATATTTTATTATATATACATGTATATACCAGAAATAATTAATTTTCCTGTGTCAAAGGAATGGTGTTATCACTAATTACTAGTTACCCAACATAAGAGGGGGAGTAGGGATAGAGTGAGTTATTTCCATCTTCACTTCTAATTGGCCTGTTCCAGGTGTCTTACTTTTCTGAAATCCCAGAGGGCATTTTCTACAATCCAAGAAAAAATATAAGATGGGGGACAAGATCAGAAGCCTTAGTGATCATGAGGCATGATGGGTAAAAGAGATGAGTAAGACATTGGGATCACTAGAAGGAGCATTCCACAAACATATAAACATTGGTTTATCACTCACCCATAGTGTTTTGCGATAGAATAGAGGAGCAAAGTTGAATTTGCAGGAGGCAGAAGAGCAGGGTATGGGAAGCTTGAGATTTTCATACCCCCACTTCCCTGTCATTCCCCCACTACAGTGCGGCTGGGCTATTAACAACAAAACATCTTGAACATTTAGCAATTGTTCACCAAAGGCAAAGTGGACATAGTTAATTATTCAACAAATTATATTCATTAAGCCTGAGGCAAATAATTGTTTGAGTGAAGTTACTCAGGCAAGCACTTTCAAATTTTGTTGTAGATTTGTTTTCTTGTTGAAACCATTCTGTTTCAATTGTTTTGATGAAACTCATATTGAGATAAGCAGCTAGTCTCCACAACGACTTAATGGGTTGATTAACCCAATCAACAAAAACTTATTTTTCTTTTGAAAAGTGATGCCAAACTCAGTGGCATATTTTGTGCTCTTCAAAATTGAATTTTCTTCTATCACATTTATCACTTCCATGGTAACACTGACAAAATGGTTTTTAGGCCAGCCCTTGTTATTTTCCATGAAAGTCACAAAATTTAAAACCTTGCACGCTTGAGCCTGCATTGGTGACCGCATAACTTTGACGTAGCATTTCGTCACTCAGCTCTGTCCACCAGGCTCCGGTTGTTCAAAGGGCAGAGAACGCTATCAATGCATATTAGAATAAATGATTTGTAGAATCACTCATGCTTGTTCACTCAAAATTGCACTAAAATCATTTAAAGAACTTTACTGATCAGCAGTCTGAATGCTTACTACCTTGAATTAAATGTACAATTCGACTGAGAGCATTTCGTCAATAAATGAATTACAACACAACAGCTGTGAACCAAATCACAGAAATAATTACCTTTAAACACCTTTTGAGTTTATGCTTAATTCGAATGACACTGAACAGTGGTTACAAATTCATCTTATGTAACACTGCTGTCAACAAAACTTACATTGATTAATTAAAAAAAAAGAAAAGAAAAAATGATGCCCAAATTAGCAGGCACACAATTTAGCAGTCACGTTATCGCTACGAAATTGGCAAAAGTGAGAGAAAATCAGGAATAACGTCACGCATTCAACACAATTAAGGATGATAACCAAGCACAGCCAGTAAAATAACTGAAAAAAATCCCACGGCAACCTTTGATCCCGAAGATCTCGTTGAGAGCATCTCTTTAGCTCGTTTACGAGCGACCATTGCGTTGAAATTTGTGGTACCATTCGGCCAAAGTGTCATGCAATCT